GCTCCCGAACGTCTCGCGCCAGTTGCGCCCCCCTAACAATCGCGCGTTGGGCAACGCTGACGTAAGAGTCGGCCGCCTCCGCCGGCATCGCGGCCCCATTGTGCTCCGTTCGGAAGCGGACGGCGCCTCTCCGCCTCCTCGGCGACATTGTGTTTACTCTGTGCCGCTCTACCACTCCGCGTTTGGCGTTCTTCGTGCGGGACAGTGTCGCGCTGCCGTTGGCTGAAGGAACCCCCGCCTCCGTCGACGCGTTGTAGCGGCTCGCGCACGCGCCGCCGACGCAGGAGACAAGCATCGCCCCCCGGGAGGGGAAACTCGATTTCTCTAGAAAAAATGCTGCTGCTGCTGCTGGTGCTGCGGCTTCTGCAACATCCGCGGCGCTGCCATCGCGCCGCATCCGCCGACGCGCGCGCCCCGGCGCCTCCAGCGGCGCTCTGACGCGTCGCGATTGTTTCATCCTCCGCGGCTGTGTGGAGTATCGCGTGCCGTTATCCGTTTTCACGCCGCTTTTGGTGACATAACTGTTGATATTTGTATAACTTTTCACCCCACCCCTCGCCGTTTCGTGCAGAGATAATCGACATTCAAAGCCGCAGTGTGTGACGGAGTGCAAATGTTTTGAAAGTGAGTACAAAACAGGCGGCTGTTTACAAAAAAAATCGGTTATGAACAAGTGACTGACGACGACAAACTGTCGGCGTTGCGTGTGAACAAGTGAGCGATAGTACATGGTGTGGAGATGGCTGTGGCGAACAGCACCATGACCCCGCTGCCCGTGCGTTGGCGCTTCCCGCAGGAGGCGGAAGAGGAGGACGAGTCGCTGGAGCAGGACTCGCTGGGCAACGGGGAGTTCGACAGTCTGCAGCACCCCGGCGGCGCGCCGGTCCCGCCCCCGCCCGCGCCACCGGCCGACGACCCGACGGACGCCTGGGCCCCGCAGAGTATCTTGGACGCCGCCCCAAGAGACGCCCACTCCTTCGAGATGCAGCAGTTCGCCTACGCGACGCGCGACTCGCGCTTCGACATTCTGAAGCAGGCCGGCCACGCGTTCCAGCAGCACTGTCGCGGGCGGGCGGACGACCGCCGCTACGGGGGCGGCGGCAACAACAACAACAACAACAACAACAGCTACGTGCATCCGGCGATCTTCGACCAGGACAAATGGGAGAAGCACAAGCAGC